ATTAATATAATTACCGTAAAAAATTTATCACTGCTATTTATATGAGCGACATTTGAGGTTAGTAGCATATGAAATCACATGACTCGTTTGTTGCTGAATATGAGCGACGAGCGACTATGAACATGTACTTTAATAAAGTACATGTTTTCGATTTTGTGCATATTACAGGCAAAAACTCAATTAAATCTCACTTGTCAGAATGCAAGAGGAACGCGCATGCAACTAAAGTTATAACATTACAAGTGAGATTTACCTGATGGCGAATTCGGCATATGATTCGACATATGATAATTGTCGGAACCAGCTAAACTAGTAACATAGACTAGTAGACATATCGATATGTCTCATAACACCGAGGAGACATTACATCGTTTTATTTCTTTTCGCATTGTCTCTATTTTCAATTGACTATCTGTACTTGAAACATCTTTTATTTTTTTTGACTTAAGAAACTTTGGATTTGTTACATTTAAGATATTTATTCATATTAATTTTAGTGGTTACTAAATTATAATTTCATTTAATATATGAATATACTTTTGGCAATTTTCTTAATTTATCGATCCTCTACATGCTGCCAAAGTTTAGATATTTAAATTCGGGACTCTATTATATGTATTATAATAATAGGTTTTATTACGCATTTTACTACATACACATAATACGAAACATATTTTATACATTGAAAAATAGATCATGGAATAGCAAAAGTTTATGTACTTTCACAATGCGAATAAAAATAGTATAATATTACGCTCAACTAAATTTTTTTTTATTGCATTTATAATTTACGAAAAGAATCCCTTTAAATAACGTAAATGTATTGAGAGTAGGATTTAATAATCAAGTATGTTACACTTTTTTAAATACATTAATAAAAGATTGAGCATATATTAAATTTATACGCTTTCACCGCGGCGTTATTTGAGTAAATAGTAAACGTATTTTCTGTCTCATACATTGAACGCAATTAATTTAAGATTTATTAGAAATGCATTTTACTTATGAAATGAAAAACATTTAAAAAACATTTAGAGAATATGATTGAAATCCGGATATGATTAAATTAAAATAATCATACCTGAATTTTAATCCTTTTTTTAATCCTAATTCCGCAAATGTTTTTTAAATGTTTTTCATTCTATAAAATAGGTTTTTAATAAATCTTAATTAATTGCGCCCGATGTGTCAGATAGAAAATATATTTATCACTCAAACATCGCGGCGGTGAAAGCGTATAAATCTAATATATACTCAATCTTTTATTAACGTATTTAAAAAGTGTAACATACTTGGTTATTAAATCCTACTCTTAATATGATATTTAAAGAGATAATTTTCGCAAATTATAAACGCATTAAAAAACATTTATTTAAGTGGAACATTATACTATCTTTATTTGTATTATATACGTACATGAAATTCTATGTCTTCATATCTTTTATCAACTATTTCTTGACGTATAAAATACGTTTCACATTATTCTCACATAGTAAAAACGTAGTATTTATTATACACATAAATGACATTACCATGTAAGAACAGTTTAGCTTATGTATGTATATGCCATATATCTATGCTAGTTTTATACTATATATTTAATAAGCGTGTATACTACAATCCTACTCTTATTGCGTAGTGAAATGGAAATAATAAAAAATTCCACGCATTCTATTTTATTTTCTTTGCAATATTCAAAGAATTTTTTAAATTCAAATTTTCAAAAAATTATGAAAGCTGATTATAAAGTTTGAAAAATCTTGTTGCGCGGCCGCGACAAGATTTTAAACAAATATTTTAACGAACATTATAATTCCTAATGGTTCCCGCACACTGGACGTGGAAACTTGCTACGCGGTAAAATGCGACGCGGTAACCAATAAGCTAAGTTCCTTTAAGTTATTCAAAAACTAAAATATTTTTTAATGTCTTTATAACAATGCTGTAAGATTTTTAAAATCTCGCCGTAATATATATTGTAGTACAATTCCTAATATCTACAATGTTGTATCGATATTACAGCGCAATCTGCAATATATTGCAACATTTCTGCAATGTTACTGCAAATTTCTGTGCTATATGGGATGATTTTAATTAAAACTAATTTAAACATAAATCAATAACTCTGAATAGTTTTTAAATTACTGAACATAACTAACAGTGATTTCATAACAACATGAATTATAGGATTTTATTAATTTTGTTTCAATATACCAATTTTTCCTTAAGTATAGCGTCATTCTTACAATTTTCAATTTTCATGAAGAAAAATATATAAAAGGTATAAATAAATTAATCCCCGGTCGCAAAAAAGTAAAAATTGTATTCTCTTTTAGTCCTTTTACACACTCGAATAAATTTAGCTCATTAAAATGCGAGTTTACGGTGATGATCTTATTTTATCAAAATGAAAAAGTCATATACTGTCTGTTATTGCGACCACAGATGTGAATTTTGTGGATTGAAATAAATTATAATATATAGATTGACAATTTCTTCAAATCAAAATTTACGTAAAAAAATTTTTAACAATTTTTTACATGTCGTTATTTACAATTTGCGATGTATTTAGAATGTGAAATTGTATATCATGGATCATATCGAATCTCCAATTGATTTTTCACACAGTGGTGATTTTCGGTCAACCGCTTTATGAGCTTATATTGGTCTGTTTTTTATTGCTGCATTCTCTGAACTGGTGCACACGGTGCAATAAGTTGAAGTGAAACAAACACATATTGCATCAATTCACAGCAATAAAAAACAAATCTCTTATGTTCGCTCTGGAAATTACTCATGGCTTACTGGACATTCTATCCTCATCAACGTTTATTGTTTTTATTGTAATCTATTTTTCTACGTCATAACTATTGAACATCTAAGGAAAGCTCGATTTTGCAGCCGAAACATGTAATGTTAATATTATTATTTTACCAAAAGAATATAGATCAATTTTTTCGAATTGTACATATACGATTCGATCAGAATATCGAATATATAATATAACCGATTTTCTTCTTAATTTATAATTCGATTCTTATTTTCCGTTTAAATTTTTATTTATTTATTATTCATTTTTTCACGAAATTTTGAATCTCCTTTATATAATATTTTCTATTTTCGCTCACCATTTTCGCTCACCATTTTCGCTTCTATCGCGCTGATGCACTTTTCCCTTTTCTCTTCTCTTTCCAGGAAAATGCGGAAACCCGCCGAGACAGACCGCGCACAACGGAGGGTCGCGTATCGTGCGGTTCATCGTCGACGATAGAGGCAGCGGCAACGGTAGCGACAGCGGCGGTGACGGCGGATATCGAAGTGAAAGGCGTCGCCAGTGCATGGAATACACAGAAAGGACGGCAGTCGCCGCCATCACCCCTGTCATCGCGCAGGCTGGACTCGGGCGCCGCAGCAGCGTTTTTCAACCCCGTCGTTGCTGCCGCCACCTCACAGAGATGCGCCGCTGTGAAGGGCGCCGTCGCCGTCGATGCCGCAGCGCCGAGACCGCAGTATATTTATCAGGATCGTCCTCTTATCACTGAGACTAGCAAGGAGAATGCCATGGAGCCGGAGACTAAGGAGGAAGACGAACGACGCTCGACAACGCCAAGTCCCGAGGTAGCGTCTTTTCCGCCTTTTTTTTACGAGAGCATCTTTTATTGTGCGTAACAATGTCTATGTAAAGTATTCCGAATATATTTATGCGTATATTCATACGTAAGAGAATGGTTTTTAAATTCTCTAGTAAAGTGACGCATGAAGGGTTCTTTAAAAATGAAACTCTTTATCGCGCTGTGACTTGATTTTGTGGTAAATTCGAATTGTATACCTGGAATAATGTACATAGTATTATATATCAATATTAATATCATCGTTGAGGATTTACACTATTAACAACTCAAGACAAAATTATTATTTCTAAATTATCAAACTATTCCATTCAGACTCTCTGTCAGTAATATGACATTTACTTCGAAATTACATAAAATCTGCATTTCAAAAAATTAAAAAAACATGTGAATATTATTACTGTTTCAAATCTAATTTTAATATAGATGTAAAAATTATGTCTAATTGCAATGTATTACATCTTTGAAATCATGCATTTTTTTTTATTCTAATAAAAACCTCTGTGAAAAGAATGAAGATTGAAAACTGCTGCTTTACGAATTGCCTTATGCTCGTGGCTCGTGGCGCACGAGTATACACCTTCACTAACATATCTCGTATTGATTTTATGGGAAGCCCTCGACTTTCATCTCTGTCTTGCACTTGTCATCCACCGTCCCCTTCTCTCTCTCTCTCTCTCTCTCTCTTCTCCCTTCCCCCTTCTCTCTCTCTCTCTCCCTCTCTAACTCGCTCATTCACTCACTCACTTACGTTTTCCTTTTTCGCGCACATGTACGCACATTTCCTTTTCCTCCCCGAATCCTGATTCTGAGTCGTTCCATCTTTTCTCTTTCTGGATCTGATCCTTTATAAGTCATCATCCTCCAAAATTCGTCTGCGTTGCATTGCTTCTCTATTCATTTTCACTTGTGAACGTGTCGAAAATGTCAAATGTACGCTGCAGCATGTTTCTTCTTGTATATGTCCGAGATAATTGACGTTTTGCAAATATAAAAATATTATTTGAATCGTGAACGTTTGAGTAAAGTAGTTTAATTGTAAAATGTCAATAAATGAAGTCATAAATTTCACGTTTAAAACTAACGAACAAATGTTTTTCTGTATACACATGTTTTTCTGTATACACATGTAAATATTTCAAGAAAAATCATCATATCATCATAAAATGATTGCATTGTGTCATTTGTTGAGCTTGAAAAAGTCACGAAAGAAAAGATCACATTGATAAAATCGCAAAAAATCTATTCTTACGCGCGATATAAGATTGAAAAAAATTTTTTGCAATTATAGTTATGTTTGAGGAGGAGTAAATATTACAATGAGGATGGTAGCAGCGAGGAGGAAGCTAAACAGAATAGCACTTCCCTGCCTAGCCACAGGCTACCGTCTTTGTATCGTGGAACATGGCCCATCAGAAGAGACATATGGGCTAATCAGCAAATTGGCTTTCCGACTCAACAGAGCACATCACTCCCTGCACAAAATGTAAGTTATAACGGCATATTATATTGCGATTTGTAATTTTTTCGTACCATACGGGATACCAAAACCTCCGCTTATCCTTTTGATGGTTAAAAGGACATCTGGTAGTTTTGGGGAATGATGATTTTAAAATATTCAGTGTATGATCCCAAATAATGTGAACTCCAGAAAGTCTCTCTAAAGAGATGTCTAAGAAATAGCATTGTTTAAATGGTTTCATGTTACCTAGAAAAATGAAAACATTGCTCCAAATTCTATGCTCATGTGTAGGATGTGGCCAGCGTGATAAGTTTCTCGTCATCATCGAACTCTGCGGGTCTCGAAGGCAACTCCACGGAGCTGCAAGGTCATCGTCGACTAGATGCCAAGGTGGACGTGGTGTACAATCTTCTCGGTATGCTTGAAAAGAATGGTCGAGATGATATGAGCACGACTTTGCTTTCTATGAGCACTTCCATAGACAGTTGCCTGGTGATGAGACAGTCAGGCTGCCTACCACTATTAGTGCAACTGATTCACGCACCTGGACAAAATCCTGACACTCGAAGTAGAGCTATGCAGGCATTACATAACGTGGTGCATGCCAAAAGTGACGAGAGAGCTAGTCGCCGGGAAGCACGAGTGCTTCGATTCCTCGAGCAATTGCGCGACTATTGTCAGAATCTGAGAATGTCTTTGGAACAGGATCAGCTCACGGATGACCTCGAGAGGGGACACCCTGCGACGACGATAGCTGCGCTTATGAAATTATCCTTCGATGAAGCTCATCGCCACGCAATGTGCCAGCTGGGCGGCCTTCATGCTGTTGCGGAACTCATTGAGATGGATCATTTGATTCATGGTAGCGAAAGCGATGATCAGAATTGCATCACATTGCGACGATATGCAGGAATGGCATTGACCAACTTGACTTTCGGCGACGGCAATAATAAGGCACTGCTCTGTTCCTTCAAGGAATTTATGAAGGCGTTAGTTTCACAATTGAAAAGTCCCAGCGATGATCTGAGGCAAGTGACAGCAAGCGTTTTAAGAAATCTATCCTGGCGTGCCGATAGTAGCAGCAAACAGACTCTGAGAGAAGTAGGTGCGGTGACAGGCCTGATGAAAGCCGCTATGGAAGGCCGCAAGGAATCCACCCTCAAATCAATCTTATCCGCTTTATGGAACTTGTCGGCTCACTGCAGCACGAATAAAGTGGATATCTGCGCTGTGGACGGCGCTCTAGCCTTTCTCGTAGATATGCTAAGCTACAAGGCGCCGTCCAAAACGCTTGCGATAGTCGAAAATGCCGGTGGTATTTTGAGAAACGTATCGAGCCACGTGGCAGTACGAGAGGATTATCGAATCATCGTGAGAGAGAGAGGCTGTCTACAAGTTCTTCTGCAACAGTTAAAATCGCCCAGCTTGACAGTAGTCAGTAATGCCTGCGGAGCGCTCTGGAATCTGTCAGCGCGATGTTCCCAGGATCAACGTCTCCTTTGGGATCTGGGCGCTGTACCGATGTTACGCAGTCTCGTTCACTCCAAGCACAAAATGATTTCGATGGGTTCTAGTGCAGCCTTAAAAAATCTATTGAGCGCTAGACCTGGTTGTAACAATCTCGTCCACTTAGACTCTACTGCTCGAGGACTGGGACTGTCAACTTTGCCAAGCCTGGTCGCTCGCAGGCAGCGGGCTCTAGAGCAGGAAATCGACCAGAATTTGGCGGAAACGTGCGACAATATCGAGCCGAGCACATCGCCAACCAATAAAAACGAAAAATTCACATTCAAACTTGATCATAGCTTTCTTGGCATCAATACTCATAGATTACGTTCTTATCAGTTGCACAGTCAGCCTAGCACGTCTACTGTCAAATGCAATGGAGTGGCCAGGAGCGAGAGTAGAGATTCAATGCGTTCTGTGACGAGCACCCATTCCGACACTATGTTCGAACGGGTAAATCGTCATGTTCTGAATGGTATATCGCCCACCGACTCGCAGGTCAAGCAACAATCCTCATCGTTGCATTCTGCTGTCGGATTCGGCAACAACGGTGTGTGTGGCGACGTTCATCCGAGAACCAGTTCCTCCGAGAGAAAATACACCCTGCGTTATAAAAACGCGATACCGGAACAACTAAAACCTTCCGATGTTTTCGGTTCGACATTGAACAAGCTGAGATGCACGAATTCTACTATATCATGGGCCGCAGTGCCTAATCAAGAACCCTCTCAGATCTCGTTACACTCTTCCATCGAGAACAACATATCTCTGATCGATCAAATGTCATCCTTGTCCAAAGCTGATAGTCAATCTAGCGTGTCCGAGGAAGTCGAAGCGACTGTTCGTATTAAATTGGATTATCGAACAACCACAAATGCAATTGTCGACAATTCAAAGCCGACCTCCGACCTGTCTGATGTTCCTTCTATGAAAGAAAGCGCGAGAAAGGTCTTATTGCGCCAACATGACACGTTAAACAGTGTTCAAAAAACAATATCGTCCGCAACGATCATTCAAAGTCCGGACGATAATTTATTCGGTGATTATGCTGAAACAGATTTGGATCAACCAACCGATTACAGTTTGCGGTATGGCGAGCAAACTATAGACGACGAGAAGCAATCCGATTTCTTCTCAGGCAATGATCAAGGACTTCAGCACGAAGATACAATTAAAACTTACTACACGGAGGGAACGCCGCGCGCATCCTTGAACTCGTCCAGAGCCACTTCTGCTTCCGATCTGCAGGATGATAGTCGTATAAGGAGCTTGTCGAAAAAATTCCCGGAACGATATAAGGCAAGACATGTAGAAGATCATAATGAATGCAAAGCGCCATCCTTGACGGACATACCAAAACTGAACGACTTTGCCAAATCGGAAACGGAGTTGAATTTACGAGACGTAACACATCTTACGGACGATGAGAGTGCAAATCATTTGTTACCATATCTTGAAGATCAAGGCAAGCAAAAAGGCAATCGAGAAGATGCAATTGTGCAAAGTCATTCAAGGTAATTATGCTTTCTAAATAATCATGATACTTTATATTTATGTAGAATCCATCAAGCTTTAAATAATGAATTGTTATATTATATTAGAATATGTGTGTGTTTTTTAATAATTGTTTGCGTGATATTTGCGCAGTGTAAGAACCACGCCAATTTCAATGATATTAGGAAATTCTGAATATAATGACGATCATAATGGGGAATCCAGCTCTAAGATTAATAGTCTTGGTAATTTAAAACATTTCACTTACTAAATATTTCGTATAACTTAAACAGACTTAACACAAATAATATAAATTTGCAGACTCCAAACCAAATAAAGTAAATAAAGATTTACCATTGAGTGACATTGAACTCTCAGCTGACAATACTAATTTAAAGATTTCCAATAACGATTCTGGATGTAAGTAGTATATATAATTCCGCGAAAATTGTGAAAAAATAGACTAATTCAGTAAACACAAAAAAATTTTTTCTGGATATATATAGATCAAGTTAGCGACGGAGACGAGGATGATGAGGATTTACTAGCTGCTTGTATTAACATTGGAATGCAAAATAATCGGTAAAATATTAATGATTACTGTAGCACTTACATAATTTGTTACTTTACAATTTTCACGAAATTATCTTATTTTATAGGCATAGACATTCCTTTATAGGAAATAATCTCGAAAAACTTCCTCGATTAGAAACTAATCTGACTCGATATCAAACTAGTCTTGCTTTAAATCAAGTCGAACATAAAGGAATTGTAATGTCCAATAGTTCACCGTTTAATGTAAAGTATGTAGAGTCTCATGAAACCACAGCTGAAAACATTTTGACAGAGAAGAGTAGAGAAGACAAGAAAGATAACAATGAAAAACTATCTAAAAAGAATCTGCAATTGGAAACAGTAAGAATATTTCAGACTGATTTTTTTGATATTAATTTAATATTAATTTTTCATAACACTATATTATATATATTACTTATATTTTAATTATATTTTAAAAAGTATTTTGTTCACAGATAACGACAAACATGAATCATATACATAATGAGAAATCAAATAACACTACGATCATGAAAACAGTAAATGGTAATAATCTCAGCAATAATTTCTCAGAAGAGGCAATATCTATATTACAAACATCTAATCCATCTTTAGATAAAAACGTTTCCAATGATTTTGTCATAACTGATGAACATGGCAGAGATCAAAATTGCTCCATTAGAGCAAACGAAGCAATAATTGATGTTCGACTCACAGATATACCATTTATGAAGCAATCAAAAGATTCTGAAAGCAGCGAATCGATCGACTCTGTCGAGCAGTCTGAACATGCGCTTTTAAAACTATGTATTCAATCCGATATAAAATCCGAAGATAACATCACATTGAACCAAAGTAACGCAGATTATGTTAAATCACAATTAAAGCTATACAACAAACAAATGAACATTATAAAAAAAAAAAATAATGATGAAACTGAGATTGAGAATAATATAAACGGCAAACTGGAAACAACCTTTGAAATCATGAGGACCCTAGATGTTCTTCATCGTGACTGCGCAGAGAAACACACAAAAGAAGAAACATATAGACGACAGAGAGATCCCGATGCTATGATTGCTTCGTTAGATCGATTGACGGCAACACTGGTTCAACAAACTGAAGCGATACGTGAACGAGACTCCGGTACAATGAAACAGAGTCTAACGTGCGACACATGGAATGAGGATTCGCCCAATGACATTTCCTTTCCCAGCATCAGCATGAGCGCACCGTTGGTTGCTTCATTCAATAGCGACGCACAGGAAGATCAGCGTACTACTATATCAGAGAATACCGAGCAGATTAATATGACAGAGTCAAAAATTATCCAACGCGAGGCTATCAAATTAGCAGAAGCGGTGGATGCAGAGATAAATAACCAGAACGAGCTCGAAACAACGAGTCTGATATCCATCGACCTCGAGGCGATCAAACCGCCGTCCTCGATGGGAAGTTTACTTTCACTGACGGCAAGTTACGCTGGCACTGCTGACAATACTGAGACATTGATCAACCGAGATAGGTGTTATTCTACGTCGCTGCCACCGGCGCCAGTGAGAAATTTCAATGATTCTCGCAACGTACGAAAGAAATCCTTGCCAGTTGGCGTGGTAGCCAAGCGAGCATTGGGTCAAGGTCAGAGTCACACGACTAGCTTAGAAAATCTGCTGAACGAATGCACTAGCTCACATTTGGAGAATGTCAAACCACCATCCATGATGGACGAATTGCCGGATGTAGGTGATAT